CATCTCTTCTGGAAACAAATGTATTTGTCTTCTCATGTTACACTTGTCTGTAGAGAGCACAGAGATTTCTTTACTCTTCATTTCCTTTTCAAACCCTTACCTATCACCTATAAATTTTCTAAACACCTTAACCAGAAACAGATCACATGCATACCTGCACTGGAGCAAGTGCTGTTACTTGAGGTTGTGTGCTCTGTACTGCTCTTAAATTCCTCACAGTGGTAACAGCAGCAGCACTACACAGAGCAGGGGATAAAGGGCATTAATCTCCAGTTTCAGTGGTTTACACGTTTGCCATATCGTTGCTGTTGGAAAGGAAGGATAGTCCAGTATCTCAGTAGCGTCCCAGACCCAGAGGCAAACCATTTTCTCTTTAGTTTCTTACATGAGTTAGGTTTCCTCTCCACTGTTTTTCTGATTCAAAGCCGACTATGGTGTGAAGTTGCTCTTCTGCCCCGCCCCACACACACACCTTTCCATATTCCCCACCCTCGCCCATTAACTGCCCTTGATCTGCCGCAGCCTAGTTTCTGGCTGCTAAAACTACTGGCAGCTAGGCTTAGCCAGGAAGTAATTTACAGGCCCCTTTCACCTTCACGCCGTTCTGGAACTGCCCATTGCTGTGGGATGCCCTCTATCACTGTTTATCAGCTCTTCCACAGATAATTTGGCTCCCCTCCCAACCGAGTTGCTCTTTCAGCTGCTCCTTCACGCACCCGCACCCCTCAGGGCTCTGTCGTTATTCCCTTCCTTGCACTTTAATCATTTACTGCTCTAATCTGGCCACCTAAGGCATTAGTTCCCATCCCAACTCAGATGAACTTCTAAACGCCACTTTCAACTCCTACCCAAATTGGTTTAATTTCATGCCATTAGCTACCTTCGTGTAATCCCACTGTCATCTGATGTTTGAAAAGGTCAGGCTTAATATTTTTTGTTTACTCTTTCCCCTCTGAACCGTCCTATCCTGTCTCTTCTCTATCAGGGGGACCCAACCCTGCTGTTTTCTTTTGTCGGGTAATCTCCTTCTTTCACTCTTTGACAGGCAGGTTGTCACCAAGCCTCTCTCCGACATCAGGCTCCTCCTCTCCACCTCCTTTGGCACAAAGGCTCCGGGCAGCCCAACCAGGGCTAGCACCTGAGCAACACCAAACGCAGCCGAGCTCACACCCGTGTTTGGGGCACTCCTACCTGCACCAGGGCAGCAGTAAAACAAAACAGCCACCTCCCGCCCTCCATCTTCCTTACCCCGTAACTCTCGCCAGCCGCCTCCAGCAGCAGCACTAATCACCCGAGCAGGGAAAATGGCCTTCCCGCCTGGCTGCCTCCCGGCGGCTCTGGGCGCCGCGCCGAACCACCCGCCGCCATGGCGGGAGCGCCTGTGCGGCTTGTTTACCGGGGGAACAGCCGGGCCTGGCCGCTCGGCACCGGCGCTGGCACAGCCGCGGCGGCAGGAGGGGCGCACGCCGCGGCCTCCGCGCCCACCGACGGCTCCTGGCGGCGCTCGCCGTCCCGGGACGCCGAGCCCGCCGCGGTGCTGCGGGTCCGGGAGCACCCAGCACCACGGCCGGCCGGGAGACAGCGGGAGTACCCCTGCTCCGCGCGGTGTCCCGGCCTCGCTACAGCCAGGCCGGGCGGGAGAGGGGCCGCGGCGGGCCCGGGAGGCTTCCTTCTCGTCTTCATCCTTCTCCTTCGGCCCCGCTACTGGAAAAGTTACTTTTTAACCCCGCCGGTCTCCGGGTAGCCGCGGGCCCGCCCGGGCGTCCCGCCGGGAAAACAAGGTCAGGACGGCGAGGCAGGAGGCGCCGCATGGAGCGGGCGGGCAGCACCTGGGCCGAGGCAGGGCCTTCCTCTCGCCGCCCGGGCCCCCTGCCCCGCCGGCCCCAGCCGAGGGGGGGAAGATGGCCGTCCCCGCTCCTTTGGGGATAAAAGCCCTTTGTTGCGCCAACACAAAAGCCAAGAAGCTCTTTACGTCCAAGGCCTTCGGCGGCCGGAGGCCGCTCCGCTCTTCCAGGGCGAGGAGCTCTCTGTTCACGAAAAGTGACCCTCGAGGTGAGGGGGGGAAAAACAAAACAACACAAACAAATAAACAAAAAGCCCCCTCTAAATTACAAGGGGAATTAAACAAATAATCGCGCAGCCCCACGGCCAGGCGGAGAGCGAGGTGCGGGGCCGCGAGCCGCAGCCTCGTCCTCGGGCTCTCCGGAGTGTCCGTGCGCCCGCTCCGGCGTCGCTGCAGGAGGGAGAAGAGAGAGAAGCGCCGTCCCGGCGGGTCCGCGTCCGCCACCGGCGAAGGGGAGCACGGCCAGCCCGGCGGGGCCGCCCCGCGCAGCGGGCGCAGCGGCGTGCCTACGATCACTTACTTGTCCGTCTCTTGTGACATGTTTGATCCAATGAACTCTCTCCCCTTTTCCCGGTGCCTCCGTCTGCCTGGCGGAACTGGACTTTCAGGTCTGTGCAGGTGAAGGTGTGCGTGTGAACGCCCGGGACGGCAGAACCAGAGCTACTGGTAATTCTGCTTTCCTTCCCCCCCTCTCCCGGCTCCACAGCCAGCCGCCGAGGCAGGACAGGTAGAGCCCCCTCCCCCTGGCATGTGGGGAGCGGCGGGGCTGGGGCGCCGGCGGGGCTCGGCACGGGAGAGCGGCCGGGCCGGGCGCGCACAGGTAACTTTCCCGAGCGGCGCTGGATTCTTTCACTAAAGGAGCGGGGAGAGGGACGAGCCGCGCGCTGATTGGGCAGCGCGGCCGCCAGGTGCGCTGCCATTGGCAGAGGCGCGCACAGGTGAGGAAGGAGCCGCCGCCGAGCGCCAGGTAACGAACGCACCGCGCCGGGAGGCACCGGGGGCCGCCGCCGGCGGGAAAGGAAGGAAAAGAAAAGGGAAAATAAAAAAGAAAAGGGGAGCCGGCGCTCGGGCGGCGGGCAGTTCCACCGTCCAACAACGCCTCCCTGCCCCCGCCGCGGACGGAGGGGCCCGGCCGGCCGCGCTGAGGAGGCGAGGAGCGGCGCACGGCCATGGGTGCCCCGTGAGGCTGAGGCGGCCCCTGCGCGGTCCGCCTGCCTCACCTGTTGGGCTGCTCCGTGCCCGAAATCCCCGGCTTCGCTGGCCTGTGGCTGCCGTCGAGTAATGCCCACGGAGGTGTCGCCCTTCGCAGGACAGTTTGGAAGATCGGGTTTTTTCTTGGGTTTGGGGAGGTTTTTTACCTTTTTTTTTTTTTCCTTCTTAATTTTTTTTTCTTTTGATCTTACTACGGTTGGGACCAGCTGAGTTTGACGTTGGTGAATGTCTTTCTGCAGAAGGCATCTCACGGCAGCAGGATGAGGTGGTGCCAGGTGATGACACCCACTGTGCAGATCTGAGAGCTGATACCTGAACTGGGGATGCTGATGATGGGTGTTGAGGGGTCTGATTTGTCAGCAGGGGAAAGCTGGAAGAGAATGGAAAGGTTGGAATGGAGCATTTACTGAGGCTCTGTCATGCAGGGATGAAGTGAATGAAGAAGACTGCAGATCCATCAGTCACCCTTCAGCCAAGTACAACCTACTGTGTACTTTGCCAGAGGACCAAAGTGGGTTTACAAGAGACAACCAGATCGGGCTGTGGGGGCAGCAGCTTTGACCCTGATGGAGAAGGTGGGGGAGGGGACCTCCTTGGGTCAGTTTGAGAACAAACAGTGGAAGGGTAGCAACGAGTCTCCCATCTGCTATCACCCCATTCTCAGTCCCCATTCCTCCATCAGAGACAGGCCAGGACTGCATTAATCCTTCCTGCTGCCACCTGCCCTCCTGGAAACAGCTTTCTGTACTAGGCATCCAACTAGACTGCTGTCAACCTCTGCTGTACAAATCGTGCTGAATGTGTAAAGAATGTATCATCATGTGGGGTAGACCATTATGTTACTTAATCATCTTTGCAAGACAATTACCTAAATTATTTCAAATCCATCAAATTTATAATGTCTTTGGTGAAACAGATTTTCCATTTTCTACATTTGATTTCATAAAATCATAGAATACCTTGAGTTGGAAGGGATCCTCAAGGATCATTGAGTCCAACTTCTGAACAGGGGAATTTCCCTTGACAGGGGAATGTAGTAGGAGGGATATTAATGGTAATACATATTTGTATAACCAAATATATATGTACACACACAGACACACATACATATATACATAGATATAAAATGTTATGGTCTGGGGCCTCATCTTTATTTGCCTACTGCTGCAGTTGAAATCAAACTTGACTCTGATAAGTCTGTGGTATTATGGGATCACAATCAGGCACAAATATCTATTACTGGGTCTCATTCCTTATCTGTGTTCATAGTAACTAATAAAATAAAAAAAATCAGTATAAATCAGTTTTAAGTCAGCTTAAACAGTCTCATTAAGATTTGTCACTTTAACTAAACATAAATAGAAAAATACTTTCCCTAGGTCAATGACTCTTTGATTGAACCAATCTCTTTGTCCATTTACCAGTCAAAGGAAAGAAACACAGTCTGTGAGTCCAGTCAAAAGTTGTCAGTGTTGTCATTATTCATGGCGATGCTTATATAAATTGTTTTGTATCGTACTATAAGGCTTCATAAAACACGAAAGAAACAGAGCAATTTATTAATATCAAATGATGCAGTCATTTTGAATACAGAATTCTGTATAACCTTAAAATAAGTTGGATCTCTCAAATACATTACTATATACTGTTTTCAAGAAATAGTGGTAGAATGTTATAATAGTTTAAGTTACTGAAGCTCTCACTGTTAACTGCAGAAATTATAAGGTTTCTTTCCCAAATAGTTGTTATGTGGAAAGAAACTTTGAGACCTGAAAAGGTTATCTGTTTGAGCACCATCAATCCATCAATAGGATTAACGCTAGTTCAGGTATCCTCTTTCTCTTTTTTAATTTTTCAGTTTTAAGAAACCTTTGGATGTTGTTGTGTTCATCCCCCCTCCCCCTCCATTTTCCCATATGAAATGCACAGGAAGAAGGAGAGGAAGATCAGTGATGAGTGCACTTGAAAATGCCACCTTCCCCAAGGTAGAAATGCTGCTGATATGTGATTTTACAAGAAAGCAAACTGCATTTGATGCCATCTGTAGTCCTGGACCAAACCCAAACTGTAACTCAATCTAAAATGGAGTTTGTTGTTCTAGCACTGGGTCAAATACAAAACTGCCTTTAGCAGCCTGCTCTCAGGAGAGATCCTCTTAGAATTAGGTAATCAGGAGACTGAATTACTGCTAACTGTCTTAGGAGTAGTTCCAAGGTCAAAGTTAGGAATATAAGTGGAAAATGCAGTAATGAACTCTTTTGATCTGAGGTAGTTGGAGATGACAACTGTTATTTAGTTAGGAGTTGCTTATATAGAAAAATATACCCAGAAAATTATTTTAACTAGGAAGGTAGGCATAGGGCTCACAGTTGTCTGGATGAGCCTTTTGCTTCACACTGCAGGCTGGAATCAAATTGTCAGAGTCCACCTCTAGCTGAACAGGTCAAACAAGTCCTACTTAATCCAGCCTGATGCTCATTCTTCATGATCTACAAGATTATTATAAACTAATCTGTTAGTCATTGAAACATCAGATAATGTTATTTCTGGGCAGACCAGTCTTGCTACCTGTAGAAAAAAGGCTGTGTAGAGTAAAAATAGAATGGTCATGCCATACATTATTGAAAATCTAGGACTTGTCTTTGGAGTGTACAGGAAATATTTAAGATGGTAGGGTATTGGTTTTCATACTGTGCTTGCGTCTTTGTTTGCACAGTAGGTGAAAGTTTTTTGTGGCATTGTAAGGGTTCAGTGTAGAATTCAACTGTCTAAAGCTCTACCTCATGTTTATGCTATTCACTCCTGTAGCAGTGAATGTCGTTTGGACTTGCCAGCACTGGGTAAAGGAAATCAAGTGCACAAATAAGGCTTAACTAGGCTTACTAATTGCACCAAGTACTTAAAATACACTTCAGAAAACTATTAGATGAAGTATATGAGATAAAAGATGTTGGAGATATATTTATGTCAAAACTGTGTTCTAAAGCAGTTCAGTGAGAGAGCAGATGTTTGAAAACAACTGTTTTCAGTAGGCAGTGATTACCACATATTTTTATTTGTGTCTTTCTGTCACTGGTGGCTGTTGATATAAAATGTATTCTCTCACAGTAAGTTCAAAGACAACCACCTACTTACTAGTTTTGTGATATGCAGCATTTACTGTTAATCTTCCCTACAGCCCTTCCTTTGTAGTCTTCTGTATGAACTATATTGGAATTTGTGCAGACCTTGATCCTCAACTGACTTCAGTGAAGCCATCGTGTACATCAAAATAAGCTTAAAAGATTTCAGCACAACCCTCCTATACCCCAAA